CTTTGTTTGAATCACTGACAGTTCGGGCAGGCCGCAGGACTGGAATTATGAAAAGAAGGAATGTCTGGCTTTTCCTATTCTAGTGCAGGTTCTTGCTCGGTATAAATCGCTTCACTTTGAATTGGCTTCGCCCGCGCCTTGACAAGGCTGTTGCCCCTCCTTCTACCCGTAGAGAGAGCCGGAGTTACGCCTTTGTATGACGGATTGATTGATAGTAGGATCAATCATGTTTAGTTTCATTCAGGATCGACATGCCCCAGGTTTGAAGAATTCGATGACAGGCCTTCGCTGCAAAAGATCCCGGAATTGGTCGATTCGGAATCGGCTGGATTGGAGGGATCCGGAGCCACAAGGATCTTCAACGGGTTCGAAAGTCGTCTTTTGTTTGATTCCAGGCGGCCGGCCCAATTCTATGGAATTAGCTATAAGTCAAGCTTGTCGACTATCAAAGGAAAGGCCGGTTCGAACTTTTCGATAGGCCGAAAAGCTTCTACAGCTAGAGGGCGCGGGTCTAGCGGAAAGCGAGGAGCTCGCAACAGCTAAATCACGATCCCCGGGCGAGCTCATATTGACATGAGGCTGCCTCTTTTCAATGCTGGAAGTGAAGCGAGCATTGCAGGAGCTATCTATTCTATCGGGGAGATGGCAAGCGGAACGCACCCAAACTCATAGGCAATGACGTTTCGAGCTACCACATTCACGCATGCCGCGGGGGATCATATGCAGTTTCCCCGGTCTACCTGTTCAAGCGAGCGCTTGCAAGCGGCCAGGACGTACATCGTACAAGATGTCGCTCACTTCCTCGTATGCTCTCCCCCTGTAGCCCTCACGTAGGGGGGAGAGCTATGAGTCCGTTCCCTCATTCCCACTAGAATAGAAAAGAAAGAACTTACCACTAACTAGGAATCCTTAGGAGCGAGGGGTCCTCTCAAGCGGCGAGGCCTGTCCCTTCAAGCGGCGGGGCCTCGGACACCTGCTTTCACTCGGGGATAGCGCTTTCCATCCGGTTTCCAAGGCGCGAGATGCTAAGGAAACTTGAGTGAAAGCGTTCCCCGCTAGCAACCCCCGGAGGTGAATCAGAGCTGGCAGGGCCGCCCTCCCCCCTCGGGGATTCTTTCAGTGTTCCGTGGGGGGTCGGGAGTAATGCTATAGTTATTCGTTCTCTTTTCTTTCAAAAGACCTAAAAGGACAATAGAAAGCCTTATTTAGAGAGTTTAAAGACCTTAAGCTATCCCCGCCCGTCCAGACAGGCTACTCGAAGAAAGAAGACTCAAGACTCATAAGGACAGGCATAAAGGAAGGAAAGATAAAAAGTAGTAGGAAAGGGGAACTCCTCTCTAGAGGAAGGGATTCGACTGCCTTTCACTCCTCCGCTCTTCACTCCTACTCTCTTCATACAAGAGATTCTACGGAGCTAGCCATGCCAAGAAAAAAGCTAAGAGCAGACAGCGGCAGCGGCAGCTGCAATGCATAATAGCAGAATCGGTTGCAGCTCTTGCTCTCTCTTCCGCTCTTCGTCTAGAAGCACTAAAGGCAAGTAGCTACTCTTGCTAGGTTTAGAACAAGCTAGGCTCTATTAGAATGGATTATATCGATCAGTTCTAGCTAGGGGCATGCAGTATAGAATCTCTCTTTCTTCCCTCTAGGGCCCTCCTTATGAGGGAAGGGATCCCTGCTAGAGGTACTCGCCTAACTTCTTCTTTTTGAGGATTCTCAGTTGCCTTTGTGCTTTTGAAGGTAATAGAAGACGATTGTAATATCGTCTGCATCGTCTTATCGTCTGCTCAACCCTGGTAAACCCGAAAGGGCGGGTACTTGAGCTCAACGGCTTGCTGCCTTAACTCAACCGTAGGAAATCTCCTTACTCAAAGAAGTACTAGAGTTATACAGGGCCGGTACTTGAATACTGAAATCGTGTTTCACTACTGAAAGACTGAAATTGCTAAACTCATACTTCAATCGTACTGCAACTGCAACCGCAACAGGAAAGATTCCAGATGAGCGTCATAAAGACTATACAAGAGAAATGGCAAATTAACGAAATGGATTCCAGGCTGACTCCCGCCTCGCCTATCTCTCATCAGACAATATCAGAAAAGTGACTATCTGTCCTCCTTAACTGCAGGAATGCTGACCTCTGCCCCTATCTGCCGGTCTATGACCTCTAGTCTTTCTTGCGCATATTCTCATTATTTCCTTACTACTTTAATAACGATAGTGGAATTCCGTCCTAAGGCTTTCAATAATGAATTTTTGGGCATGTTAATTAAGCGTAGTACCTCCTCGTGACCTTATTCGATCGATTTCAGAGGCATGAAGCTTAAGGAAAAGCGGCCATAGAGCCGATCTCCCCCATCAGTCAGACAGATGCGATCGTTAGAGATTCAAGATTCCCGGTTGGACCGATTCAAGCGATTGAAAGAGGAAAGACCGATTGATAGAGGTTGGACGGATGACCGTGTTACCAGATGAGCTGCTTTGCTAGACTTGTCTAAAGTGAAATGAACTCCCTAGCCTTAAAAGAGAGCCCTTTTTCGATAGTGATTTCAGGTATAGTACTATAGTACTATAGTACTATAGAATAGAATAGAATAGAGTACTATAGTACTATAGTACTATACCTGAAATCACTATCGAAAAAGGGCTCTCTTTTAAGGCTAGGGAGTTCATTTCACTTTAGACAAGTCTAGCAAAGCAGCTCATCTGGTAACACGGTCATCCGTCCAACCTCTATCAATCGGTCTTTCCTCTTTCAATCGCTTGAATCGGTCCAACCGGGAATCTTGAATCTCTAACGATCGCATCTGTCTGACTGATGGGGGAGATCGGCTCTATGGCCGCTTTTCCTTAAGCTTCATGCCTCTGAAATCGATCGAATAAGGTCACGAGGAGGTACTACGCTTAATTAACATGCCCAAAAATTCATTATTGAAAGCCTTAGGACGGAATTCCACTATCGTTATTAAAGTAGTAAGGAAATAATGAGAATATGCGCAAGAAAGACTAGAGGTCATAGACCGGCAGATAGGGGCAGAGGTCAGCATTCCTGCAGTTAAGGAGGACAGATAGTCACTTTTCTGATATTGTCTGATGAGAGATAGGCGAGGCGGGAGTCAGCCTGGAATCCATTTCGTTAATTTGCCATTTCTCTTGTATAGTCTTTATGACGCTCATCTGGAATCTTTCCTGTTGCGGTTGCAGTTGCAGTACGATTGAAGTATGAGTTTAGCAATTTCAGTCTTTCAGTAGTGAAACACGATTTCAGTATTCAAGTACCGGCCCTGTATAACTCTAGTACTTCTTTGAGTAAGGAGATTTCCTACGGTTGAGTTAAGGCAGCAAGCCGTTGAGCTCAAGTACCCGCCCTTTCGGGTTTACCAGGGTTGAGCAGACGATAAGACGATGCAGACGATATTACAATCGTCTTCTATTACCTTCAAAAGCACAAAGGCAACTGAGAATCCTCAAAAAGAAGAAGTTAGGCGAGTACCTCTAGCAGGGATCCCTTCCCTCATAAGGAGGGCCCTAGAGGGAAGAAAGAGAGATTCTATACTGCATGCCCCTAGCTAGAACTGATCGATATAATCCATTCTAATAGAGCCTAGCTTGTTCTAAACCTAGCAAGAGTAGCTACTTGCCTTTAGTGCTTCTAGACGAAGAGCGGAAGAGAGAGCAAGAGCTGCAACCGATTCTGCTATTATGCATTGCAGCTGCCGCTGCCGCTGTCTGCTCTTAGCTTTTTTCTTGGCATGGCTAGCTCCGTAGAATCTCTTGTATGAAGAGAGTAGGAGTGAAGAGCGGAGGAGTGAAAGGCAGTCGAATCCCTTCCTCTAGAGAGGAGTTCCCCTTTCCTACTACTTTTTATCTTTCCTTCCTTTATGCCTGTCCTTATGAGTCTTGAGTCTTCTTTCTTCGAGTAGCCTGTCTGGACGGGCGGGGATAGCTTAAGGTCTTTAAACTCTCTAAATAAGGCTTTCTATTGTCCTTTTAGGTCTTTTGAAAGAAAAGAGAACGAATAACTATAGCATTACTCCCGACCCCCCACGGAACACTGAAAGAATCCCCGAGGGGGGAGGGCGGCCCTGCCAGCTCTGATTCACCTCCGGGGGTTGCTAGCGGGGAACGCTTTCACTCAAGTTTCCTTAGCATCTCGCGCCTTGGAAACCGGATGGAAAGCGCTATCCCCGAGTGAAAGCAGGTGTCCGAGGCCCCGCCGCTTGAAGGGACAGGCCTCGCCGCTTGAGAGGACCCCTCGCTCCTAAGGATTCCTAGTTAGTGGTAAGTTCTTTCTTTTCTATTCTAGTGGGAATGAGGGAACGGACTCATAGCTCTCCCCCCTACGTGAGGGCTACAGGGGGAGAGCATACGAGGAAGTGAGCGACATCTTGTACGATGTACGTCCTGGCCGCTTGCAAGCGCTCGCTTGAACAGGTAGACCGGGGAAACTGCATATGATCCCCCGCGGCATGCGTGAATGTGGTAGCTCGGAAACGTCATTGCCTATGAGTTTGGGTGCGTTCCGCTTGCCATCTCCCCGATAGAATAGATAGCTCCTGCAATGCTCGCTTCACTTCCAGCATTGAAAAGAGGCAGCCTCATGTCAATATGAGCTCGCCCGGGGATCGTGATTTAGCTGTTGCGAGCTCCTCGCTTTCCGCTAGACCCGCGCCCTCTAGCTGTAGAAGCTTTTCGGCCTATCGAAAAGTTCGAACCGGCCTTTCCTTTGATAGTCGACAAGCTTGACTTATAGCTAATTCCATAGAATTGGGCCGGCCGCCTGGAATCAAAACAAAAGACGACTTTCGAACCCGTTGAAGATCCTTGTGGCTCCGGATCCCTCCAATCCAGCCGATTCCGAATCGACCAATTCCGGGATCTTTTGCAGCGAAGGCCTGTCATCGAATTCTTCAAACCTGGGGCATGTCGATCCTGAATGAAACTAAACATGATTGATCCTACTATCAATCAATCCGTCATACAAAGGCGTAACTCCGGCTCTCTCTACGGGTAGAAGGAGGGGCAACAGCCTTGTCAAGGCGCGGGCGAAGCCAATTCAAAGTGAAGCGATTTATACCGAGCAAGAACCTGCACTAGAATAGGAAAAGCCAGACATTCCTTCTTTTCATAATTCCAGTCCTGCGGGCCTGCCCGAACTGTCAGTGATTCAAACAAAGAGGCGGGTCCGAGTCTTCCTCGGTTGAAGTACCAAAACTCCTCCTCCTTTATCTTCTTCCTACCATCCGGGGGGAAAGGATGAGACGGAATAGCGTGTCATTTCGGAACCGTTCATAAGCGCGCCCTTGACTAAAAGGAGCGAAAAACTCTTGAGAATTGGGCCGAAGGCATCACAAGATCGAGAGGAGCCATCTTGATTCGGACTAGAGGAGGAAGGAACCTGAGCCCATAGGTGTAGGAATCAATCCACTGTCTCGTTGCCCGAGGAATCAGTTACAGTAGAGCCAAAGGCAGCTATCGCGATGAATTGTTACAATGTGTGCCTCCTTCTGGGGAAGCGCGCATGCAGGTGCAGGAAGGAAGCTTCT